ATTGTTTATATCAACAAAAAGCTCATTTTACTCACTTAACATTGTTGATTTGTCTTATCACTGACAATAGAGCTATTGATTAGGAGCCTGACCTTTAGGTGGCTGACTTGTGAGTGTATTCAGTATGGTAAAATACGGTTTCGATATGGCTGCAGAATTTAGAGGTGTCATTAACAAGGTACAGGAGTAAAATAGGGGTTATAGTATTCCTTACTCAAATTCTGTATGCTAGAGCTGGCTGGAGTCTGTGGCATGCTCATTGGTGCAAGTCAGTAAGGACTATGCTTTTTGCTCCACAACTCAGTTGTGGGAAAGCTAGTCTCTAGAGCATTCTTGATCATAATGGACTGGAATAATTTAACTTTTGGTACTTTCTCAGGCTGTTAGTATTATCTAATGAGTGGCTTAAAGACACCAGAAACACTGACTAAAGTCTCCACTTGCTTCTGGCTGAATGGATGGAAGCTTCTAGCCAGTGAAGAAGAGGCAGTAGCCAATGTGCCTTATTCTGAATGGTCCAGGTTAACTTTTATAAGAGAAACAGAGCCTTTTAATTGCTGAAGGTCTGACCCATACACTATAAGATACAGATTCCTAGTCTAAGTTACATTTGAATTAGACTGCACCTACTGACAATATATTCACTTCAGGTGTTAACTCACTTGGATTAGCATCTGGCCTATCCTATCTCTGAATATAGGTTGGCACGTGTATTGGAATGTCTGAGTAGTCAGAAGATATTTTTAGTTATATTCTCAATACTGAGGAATTTTTACTTCTAGAAACTGAAGGCTCAGAAGAGGATGATAAAGAAAATGATAAGGCTGAAGAAATGCCAAATGATTCAGTCCTTGAAAACAAGGTACACTGTTAGCTACTCAGTACTGTTGTCTGCTTTTTTCCTTTTTTGGGAGACAAGCGTTCACTTTGTTGCCTAGGCTGGATTACAGTGGGGTGATCGTGATCATGGCTCACTACAGCCTCGACCCTCAGGGCTTAAGTAATCCCTTCACCTCAGCCTCTCAAGTAGCTGGGACTACAGGCTTATGCCAGCATGGCTAGCTAATTTGCAGGACTGTAGCTTACTAGTTTAGGCACAATGATTTTTTTTTTTAAGAGATAGAATCCCTGTTTCTGTTGCCCAGGCTGGCATGAACATGGCTCATTGTATCTTCAGCCTCCTGAGCTCAAGGAATCCTCCCACCTTAGCCTCTCAGACAGCTAGGTATCCAGATGTCTGCTGCCATGCCTGGTTAATTTGTTCTCTAATTTTATTAGATGTTATGCTGCCCAGGCTGGTCTCAAACCTGGCCTCAAGTAATCCTCCTGCCTCAGCTTCCCAAAGTGTTGGGATTATAGGCATGAGCCACCATGCCCAGCCCTAGGGATGATTATTATAATTATCTCTTGGTTATGAATTAGGGACCCTTTATTCGTGCCTAAGATGTAAGGACATATTGATTAGGGGTCATGTGTGTTAATATGTGACCCAACATTTCACTGTTAAATACCACTGACATGGTCATGACTTAGGATAGTATGTGGACCCATTCTCTAGATAATAGGGAGAAAGTTCAAATTTTGAATTGTATGTCAACTATTTTGTTTTTAGCTATGCTAAATTATACATTTAGATTTGTACTGTGAAAACATGCCTATCTTTTTTATTTGGACATACTTTAGTCTCTTCAGGAAAACGAAGAGGAAGAGATTGGGAACCTAGAACTTGCCTGGGATATGCTGGATTTAGCAAAGATCATTTTTAAAAGGTAAAACTCTTAGTGCTTCTAGGCTCAGGTTGGGAGCTTGGTGATTAAATAGAAATCAGTGTTAGACAAGTACTGTTAAGGTTTTTCATCAGCTTTCCTTCTTTTAGGCAAGAAACAAAAGAAGCCCAGCTTTATGCTGCCCAGGCGCATCTTAAACTCGGAGAAGTCAGTGTTGAATCTGGTAATGCATTTTCCATTTTACACTCTCCTACTCTGTTCATCTCTCCTGATCTTCCCATAACAAACTCTCTGGAACCCAACTTGATTGATCATTAAAAAGACAGGTTTAGATTTCCTGTAGAACATGGAATAATGAACAGTCTCTTCCAAGTTGTACTCTGATAGAAAGTCTTTGAGTAGGTTTTTAAAAGTCATTTTGACATTCTTTATAGTCAAGGGGACTGGAAACATACAAAAATGAAATATTAAATAGGGGCATATTCCCATAGGATGGGTCTGAATTCTGGAAGTATTTTATGTTAAATGCTGTCCATTTACTTGCTCTTCTTTGTCTCTTCATTAGAGAACTATGTACAAGCTGTGGAGGAATTCCAGTCCTGCCTAAACCTTCAGGAACAGTACTTGGAAGCCCACGACCGTCTCCTTGCAGAGACCCACTACCAGCTGGGCTTGGCTTATGGGTACAACTCTCAGTATGATGAGGCAGTTGCACAGTTCAGCAAATCTATTGAAGTTATTGAGAAAAGAATGGGTGAGTGAAGACGAGCTGCTTCATGGTGATCGTGGATCCATCAATTAACAAGAAAAAAAGTGGTTCTTTTTTGTGCTGTCACTTATCACTTATTCTTTTTACAGCTGTACTAAATGAGCAGGTGAAGGAGGCTGAACGATCATCTGCTGAATGTAAGAAAGAAATTGAGGAGCTGAAGGAACTGCTACCTGAAATTAGAGAGAAGATAGAAGATGCAAAGGAGTCTCAGCGTAGTGGGAATGTAGCTGAACTAGCTCTGAAAGCTACTCTGGTTGGTTCCATTTCAAGATTTTGATAATAGTATGTTTGTACCATTTATGTTAGTACTCCATTTGCCAGGAACTTTTCATCATGACTTGGTTTCCAGGCAGTTGGTGGGCTCATCTTGTTATTCCTATCAAATAATGTAGTGGTTAAGAGGAAATACTCTGGAGCCCCAGACTATCTGGGTTTTAATTCCATACTTAGTGTGTGTGGCTATGGGCATTTCTCTCCCTCAGTTGACCCATTTGTAAAATGGATAATACAGCTTGAGTATCCTTACCTGAATGCTTGAGACCAGAAGTGTTTTTGCATTTCAGATGCTTTTGGATTTTGGAATACTTGCATCATACTGAACAGTTGGATGTCCTTAACCCAAATTATGAAATGCTCCAGAGAGCATTTCCTTTGAGTGTCAATGCGAGTCCTCAAAAAGTTTGATTGTTGGATTAAGAGATGGAATGCCCAACCTGTAGTACATGTATATAAAATATACTTCTGCCAGTACTGGACAATTAGACATTTCTTAACAAATGTGAGTTGCTGGCCAGGTGCGGTGGCTCAAGCCTGTAATCCCAGCACTTTGGGAGGCCGTGGCGGGTAGATCACGAGGTCAAGAGATCGAGACCATCCTGGTCAACATGGTGAAAGCCCGTCTCTACTAAAAAAAAAAAAAGAAAATTAGCTGGGCATAGTGGCGCATGCCTGTCCCAGCTACTCAGAAGGCTGAGGCAGGAGAATTGCCTGATCCCAGGAGGCGGAGGTTGCGGTGAGCCGAGATTTCGCCACTGCACTCCAGCCTGGGTAACAAGCGAAACACTGTCTCAAAAAAAAAAAAAGAAAAAAATATGTAAGTTGCTGTTTCCATCTCTGAGAACTCATTTGCATAAATTGGTGACTTATTGAGAGGCATTCACCACAAATTGCCTGGTACTGTTTTTGGCTGTCAGGATGTCACAGAGCTTTTTACCCTGGAGGGAGGATATGGAAGATTTAGTTTATTATGTACCCTCTGACTATGCTTTGGGTGGCTGCTAGACAAGCATAGGTTGGCCAGGGTTAGATGATCTTGACACTACATGGAGGCCACTAGCATTTGAGATCAGTTGTTTGGTTGGTGATTGGTACCTGTGAGTGGCCGGGTTCTAAACTAAAACCAATTGGGTTTGTCATTTCTCATACAGGTGGAGAGCTCTACTTCAGGTTTCACTCCTAGTGGAGGAATCTCTTCAGTCTCTATGGTGGGTATTCAGGTGGTTTTTGGTCACTTATTAAGTCTCAGTGTTGGCACAGTGTGGTGGCGCTTGCCTGTAATCCCAGCACTTTGGGAGGCCAAAGTAGGAGGATTGCTTGAGGCTTGGAATTCAATACTTAGAAACATAGTGAGACTGTCTCTAAAAAACTAAACGTAAGTCATATAAGCCTCAGCATTGATCTTGTATAGCTTGAACAATTACTAATAAAGGCTTATTTTGCCAGATTGCCAGTAGAAAGCCAACAGATGGTGCTTCCTCATCAAATTGTGTAACTGATATTTCCCACCTCGTTAGAAAGAAGGTAAGTCTGCATGCAGTGTTTCCTACCTTTTCCTCAGACTCCATGTTTAATACCTTTCCTATAAACCCCTCTATAGTTGGTGCATGTAAGACACTTTTTCCAAAGATGGTAAGGATTTGTAAGTGAAGACAGGTGTGTGTGTGGGTGTGTTGAGATGGAGTGTTGCTCTGTTGCCCAGGCTGGAGTGCAGTAGTGCGATCTCAGGTCATGCAACCTCCACCTCCCTGGTCAAGCGATTCTTCTGCCTCAGCCTCCCGAGTAGCTGGGACTATAAGCGCCACCATGCGTGGCTAATTTTTATACTTTTAGTAGAGGTGATATTTCACCGTATTGACCAGGATGGTCTTTAAGTGCTGGGATTATAGGCATGAGCCACCATTCCCAACCATGAAGACCGTTTACATTTGCACATCTCTTCTAGGAGAGTTCTGGCCTTTTAAAGCCCAAAGACTATCATGAAAGCTGCAGAGGAGGATTGGATCAGCAGCTGGCAGGTTTTCTTTGACAGTAGTCATTCAGCACCAGGCCTATTGGTACTTAGTCTGCCTTTGCCTAGTGCCGGTGGCGCTTTTCTTTTGGTGGATAGGGGAAGTCAGACTTTCCTGACTCAAACACAGGAATTCGAACTTCTACAGTAATTTCCATTCACATCCCCTCACCCCAACTTTAGTCCGCTGTGCTTTTGGTACAGAGGCCTTGAGTATTATGATGGGACAGATTTATTCTGGGAGTACAGGTTAGCATCTGTCTGTAGCAAGATTCATTAGACCTGTGAATCTTGGTGTTCAGGATCTTTGCCCACAAGGATTGAGGAAATGTTTTTCAGTTGTCTTTTTAAAATCATTACACACATTTGTGAAGTCTTCATAATTATATCTTTAGAGGAAACCAGAGGAAGAGAGTCCCCGGAAAGATGATGCAAAGAAAGCCAAACAAGAGCCGGAGGTGAATGGAGGCAGTGGGGATGCCGTCTCCAGTGGAAATGAAGTTTTGGAAAACACAGAGGAGGTGGGCAGTTAAGCAGGGCTTGGCCTCTTGCCTCATTCCTTGTTCTCAGGACCTGGGGAAAAAAAACCATTAGGTCATTTCTCCTTTTCATGTGATAGGATCATTGGCTCTGTCAGCCCAATTATCACAGAGAATTCAAGAAATTTCCTTGTACATTGTGGTCACTGCCCTCTTAATATAGGGAGCAAAGCAGAGTTTGGGTGATTTTTATGTAGTTCTTTTGACTGAGGCCTCAGTTATATAAGACAAAATGAATGGCTTAAAGTAGGCTCACTCATGCCCAGGCTCCATTTGTCTTCCAGGCTGAGAATCAGGCTGAAAGCCGAGTGGCAGTGGAGGGGACAGTGGAGGCTGGAGCTACAGTTGAAAGCACTGCATGTTAAGAGGGGGCAGAGCTTCCTCCCAAGGGGAAGTGTTTTTGTATATAATGTATTTTTTCACTTTTGGAGGATTCTTTTTGTATAACTTCAATAAAGATTGTAAGCAAAGGTTGAGGCTTTGATGTTTTTTTTTTTTTTTTTTTTTTTTTTCTTGATTATTGGCTGAATCTGCCTTGGAGCACTCCTTGTTTTATATAGTAGCTAAAGGTTTTGTTTTGGCCTTCTGTACTGATCTGTGTTGCAAGTCCTGATCCGTAATTCCTGTCTGCCTAATGTGGAGCTGAACAGGTGTGGCTGTAGGCCTTTGTTTTTCAATGGTGCTATATTTCTTCTGTTTTCAAATATTTCACTGAACCCAGCTGTCTTGCAAACCTTCAGTGGTGCTGTCTCTGGATGGGGGCTACAAAAACAAGACTTGGTGAATATTTTGCTCTTCGGTGCTGAAAATGAATAATGGACTTTGGCTGTGGGCCAGGGTTAGGATGGTACTTGTCTTACATCCACCTCATCTTCAACTGGGGCTATAATTCTGTCCTGGAAAAAGAACTCTGAAAAAAACATGGGTTGGGGGAATGATCCCTAAAGAAAACAGTTTACACTTGAGCTCTGGTTTGAAAGTACAAGGGACTGATGGTGATGGACAGTTCAGCTGTGGTTGGAAGACTATGTGGGGAGGCTGGCTGGTTGAGTTTGCTATTTTCTGTATATAGAACTTGGAATTGTTACCCATGTACAGAATTGACTTCTCAAATAAAGATGCTAAAAATCTCCTGGTCTGGAATTGTGTTTAAAGATCTTACAGTGGGAGCCTAGGCTGTTTTTTCTTGAGGTGCAATCTCTGCTCACTGTAACCTCTGCCCCTCCTGGGTTCAGGAGATTCTCTCGCTTCAACCTCCTGAGTAGGTACCACTACAGGCTTGTGCCACCACACCTGGCTAATTTTTGTATTTTTACTGGAGAGTGAGGTTTCACCATGTTGTCCAGGCTGGTAGTGAACTCCTGACCTAAAGTGATCTGCCCACCACACCCTCCCAAAGTGCTAGGATTACAGGTGTGAGTCACCCCACCTGACTGCCTGGAGCATTTCTGTGTGCAGTAGGAGGTTTGAAAGACAGAAACCACCACCCCAAAGATGCTGCTGGTGAAGGCACTAGTAGTAATGTCATCTGGGTTGGGCTCTCACTGGTGACTAGCATTCAGGGCTCACTTGAGGCTGAACTGCCTCTCACCTGACTCAGTTTACTAAGAACCTGTTAGGATCTGAATTCCAAACTGCCTGCCCTACATCACCCAAGGGGATTCAATTTAGTAGTCTTGACACCTGTAGGGCTGCTTTGTTGCACTGGAGGCAGAGGGAGCTACGCCGACCCCTCAAATCAGTCCCATTTTTCTGACTAGGATTTTTTCTGGGCTGGTCACAATAAGTCATGGTTGCAAGATCTCTGGCTTATCCTGGCTTTGGAGTTTCTTCCTGAAAATGCCCTTGCAATATATGTTCCAGGTCCTGAGGACTACCCCGCTACCTCCTTTTTAAAAATAGCCTTATTTATTTATTTATTTATTTATTTAAATTTTTTTTTTTTTGAGACAGAGTTTCACTCGTTACCCAGGCTGGAGTGCAATGGCGCGATCTTGGCTCACCACAGCCTCCGCCTCCTGGGCTGAGGCAATTCTCTTGCCTCAGCCCCCCGAGTAGCTGGGATTACAGGCATGTGCCACCATGCCCAGCTAATTTTTTGTATTTTTAGTAGAGATGGGGTTTCACCATGTTGACCAGGATGGTCTCGATCTCTTGACCTCGTGATCCACCCGCCTCGGCCTCCCAAAGTGCTGGGATTACAGGTGTGAGCCACCGCGCCCGGCCCATTTTTAATTTGTTCTTGAGACAGTTTCACTCTTGCCGCTCAGGCTGGAGTACAATGGCACGATCTCAGCTCACTGCAACCTCCACCTCCTGGGTTTAAGCAATACTCTTGCCTCAGCTTCCCAAGTAGCTGGGATTGCAGGCATGTCTCTGCAATCAGCTTTTTTCCCCTTTATTTATTGGTCAGGACAGTCATGATGTAGTTTACTCCCAGGTGCTTGACCTCTGGTTGGCACTGGGATCTAGGGCTAGGCACAGTATCTCATTTTAGCTAGATCTCACATGTGACCCTTGCGGGGAAACAACCTTAGGCTGGGGCCGTATCCCAGAATCTTAAGTACATAAGGCCTCAGGAGTTTCCTGTTTATGGGTATCTTGAGCAACCTGAAAGGTTTCCTGGCAGAAGTACTGAGGAAACAGATTTGAGTAAGTTTGGTGATAAAACTGGCTTTACCAAAAAACCAGTGGGAATTTATAATACTTTCGTTGGAATTAAAGAATGCCTCCTAGTCATCTTTATATGTGTCAGACAATATAAATACCTGACAAACTCATTCTGCTTTAAAAAAAAAACAAGAGGTACAGAAAAATTAAGGACTTGGGGGAGTTGATGGTAAAGCTATGCTTGGAGCTCGTACTCTCAACTCAACTGCTAGTTGCTTCTAGACCCAATGTCAGAACATGGAGTAGTAAAGCTATAGGTCTGCAAATAGGCCCCAGTCGTGTATGTTCAGATGCTCATCCCCACATTCACTTGGGTTCAGAAACTCACTGGGGCAAGTCAACTGGTGAGGGCCCAAACCCTCATCTCTCCTTGATGCCACTGAGGGGCTCTTCTGTAGGAGGTGGAGGATCAGCAAACCCAGCTGGGGGGGTGGAGAAATTGGCTTCCAGTGAAGATGTGCTGGACACCTGTGGAACAGGGAGAAAGCAGGTTTGGAGCAAAAATGTGAAAGTTAAGCACACAGGTTTTGGAGTTAGATCTCCTTAGAGTCTCTCACTATGAATCAAGTTAACCTGATCCTGCTTTGATTCCCTTATCTGTTACGTACAACTTCATATAGATGTGAGGATCAAACAGGGGAGCATTGCTAATGACTGACCACTCATGAGTGGTCAATAAAGGCTGGGTATTAGCCCTACCAGCCACAGTGGTATGGGTAGCTGTGGTATCCCTAGCTGTAGTTGGGCCCTCACCAGAGGTGGGTACTGGTACTCATGGACACTTGCTGGATTGATCTCTGCCTGTTCCTGGATAGCTGCATCTCTTGCATTTACCAGCCGCAGAAAGAGCTCAGCTTGACCTGCCTGGGGAAAGATGGAATAGTATTACAGTTGTACCTTGGTGTATGCCCATTGCCCGCCCTCCACACTCACCTGAGGAATCCCATTCAGCTGCCCAAGGCTAAGGCTAGGATCTAGAGGAAGGGCCCGAAGTGGGAGGCGCCAGCGGCCACTTAGCACCCGCTGATCTTGGTCAAATAGCCCAAGTGAGACCCAAGCCTTTGGCTGTGGTGCCCTAGTCCATGCCAGCCCCTGCCAGACCTGCAGCTCACAGACCAATGATACTGATGGTGAGGGTGGCAGTCTGTAGAATAACCAAAAATCAGTGTCGGAAACCAGAGCTGCAGTCCCTTCCTAGGACTTAGCTCTTCAGAGCCAGTGGACTTTCTATACAGATGAGAAAACAGCAGAATGATGAATAAGCCTCAATTGTGGCAGAGTACCAGAGTCATGATCCCCACCTACTGACCTGGGCACAGGTTGCCTGCTAGCAAGGATGGCACAGTTGCCCGTGGGCCCGGGAGCAAGAGGTGGGGGCAGGCAAAGGGCTGGGGGCAATGCTGTGGTCCTTTCTGTATCCTGTCCATCGCGTGTCAAGCCAGTCCTTAGCTGTACCCAAAGCCAGGAAGCCTCAAGGCCCCGCAGAAAATCATAGAAAATGACCAGGCCAGCCCTGGGGAACATAAGTCTTAGCACAGACATACCCAGCTCCTGTCAACCTCCCTCCTCTCAGGCAGCTCCCCAATCCTATATGGCCCTAGTGGGCTCCCTTAACCAGCAGTGCTGGCCAAGTCACAGAGGATGTCAAAGTTGGCACAGGCCTCACCCAGGATCATAGGGTGCAGGGCCCAGGACGTCCGATGTGGGCAGGAGGAAGTATGGGTCCAGGCCCAAGTTTCTGGTCATTGTTCCAGGAAGCCCTGGCTGTGGGGAAGAAAGTTGACTCCTCCAAAAAGCTTTGTAACTACCCATGGTTCCCCCAACTGCTCAGAGCAGAGCTGCCCCCAACCTGTTCCCCCACTCCACTCTGTGTTCTCACAGCCTTTCTCAAGCCACTCAAGAACCGGACCTCCCTGAAGCCTGGAAATGGTGGCAGCAGAGGGGCCACCGGTGGCGGTGGGAGGAGTGGGGGATTTCTCCTGCCCTTCAGTCGGTGGCTGGGACCTCCCAAGAGTCGCAGATCCTGGGGCCCTGGGAGCAGAAGAGTTTTAGGGTGCCCCTAAGTTGGACAAAGCAGGTAACCAGCTTTTTTTCTTGGGAGACACCCCTCCCCCAAGAGCTGGGCCCATAAATGGGTGGCAGATCCCTGAGGACACAGGAACATACAGGCACAGACTCGACCTAGGGGGTGACAAACACAGGTCTTGTTCCCCATACAGTGCCTGAGCCAGGCCTGCTGGGGAGGGATACGTGGGATGGGATAAGGTTGGAGTACTCACTGACCCAAGGGTGCCTGACCCCTCTGCATTTGCAAGGCCAAGATTTCTGCCTCCAGGCGCCGGTTTTCAGCCTCCACTACTGGAAGCTCCCCTGAGGAGGCACCTGCCCTTCCTGCAATGAACAAGTGTGACCTCTGGTGACCCAAGCAGCCATCCAACACTAAGATTCTTTGGATAAGGCTGGAGTTGACAGCTTACATCCTATCCACAGCCACAGGCCCTCCCTCGAGTTTTTCTCTCTTCCCAGGATTGACCACCACTGCCGAGAGGCCCTCCTGTTCACCTCTGCGGGTCTGCGACCGCTGCAGCTCCAGTGCTGATGCCTCCACATGCAACTGCCACATCTGGCCCAGCACGCCGGGGTCCCGACCTCCACCTTGAATGTAGGCCTCCCGTAGGGCCCTAGTGAGTAGGGGACAGGAAGGCCGTCTTTCCAGAACTGCTCAGCGCTTCACCCCATGCCCATCTCTGGACCCTGGCCCTCACCAGATTTCGGCAGCCAGAGTTCCCGGGTTGGCCTTTAACCCTGGACAATAGAGTTCTGTCTCTCGCCGGGAGTTGAGTGGGGTCCTGGGGTGGCAGGCAACACTCAGGGAGACGGTGACGCATCAGAGGCCCAAGCAACAGCTGGCCCGCCACTACCGCACCGCAGCTGCACGTTCCGGGGGTGCGCTATGTCAGGCCTTACCCTGTCTCCGTCTGCAGCTCTTGAACGCGGGCCCCCAACACCTCTAGTGCTCCCTGTGTTCGCCCGGCTTCAGCTCGGAGTTCCCGAATCTCCCGTTCCAGGAAAGATAGGCGGGCCACACCTTGGAGGCGCTGGCTTAGTTCTGAGGGAGTGCAGGACAGAGTCAGAACCAGCCTGAGCAAGCTTAAGCCAAAGGACGAGGGCAGAGGAGGTCCTTGGTCCTCGCCATTCTCCCTCACCCTCGCCGCGTCGCTGCAGGGCTCGGCTCTGAGCTTCCGTCTCCACCATGCGCCTTGCGCGAGTCCTGAGCAGCGCCTGCAGCCGCTCGCTGGGGCTTCCCACCGCCTCGGACAAGGGGCTCTGAGGCCACGCCTCAGAACGCGTCCAGGGCCGTGCGGACACCCTGGGGACCTCTGTTATCCAGGGCCACATTTCCTGTAGGGACAGCCGCAGCCACTGCACCTGGAGGTAAGTAATCCTTGATCTTTCTATGGGCAGAATCTGTCCCAAGTATGATCTACAGGTTTGGGTAAGATGCTCAACATTTTGAGACCTGGGGAAAGGTAGGTGGCCCTACCTCCTCTGCTAAACTCTTTAGAGCAGATTTACTGGTCTGCTGGTCTGGGAGACCCTGGAGTTCTTGTGGTACAACCTGGGGACAGGGTGTAGTAGGAAGAGGAATTGTAAGGTCCTGCTCCTTTCAATCCCCACCCATGGCCACAGAGGCCCTTACCGCAGCCTGCTGGAGTTCAGTGTTAACTGAGGCCTGTGCTCCAAATGTCATCTCTTGGGTCAGGTGACCAATGCAGAAGCGCCGTGTGTGGGTGGCTAACAGAGCTGAGGAGCGGAAAACCATGTCACAGGTCCCACAGGGCAGGAGCTCCGGTTCCCCGGAGTGGGAGTCCATGGATGGGACCAGTTTCCTGAAATCAGCCAAGACCTGCAGAAGGGAGCAAGGGCAGGGGGAAGGCAGAGGGGGATGAAAGAGAAAGCGAGGCAGAGAAGAAAGGCCAGGTCTGTTAAGTCTGCGAGATCTTCAAGTTTATGTTTGGGGAGAGCCTTAGCTCCCTGGACAGCAACCACAGGCCTGGACAGGTCAGGAGAATGGGTGGGGAAACCTTGGCTGTCTGGGAGGAGCCAGTGGCTTAAAAAAGTCATACGAAGTTTGAATGTAGACAAGTCTCTAACTGTATGTTGGTTTCCCTGTGTTAATAAAGAGGAAAAACAGCTGCCTCCTAGACTAGCTGGACCCTTATCACTTACTCCATCACTGGTCATTTAATAGCCTCTAAAAGGCAAGTGTCATCTTTTTCACTGCTGTGTTAACAGTCTACCATTCTCCAATCCAGAGAACTACTTGGTAAAGGAGGCACTCTGACCTTTCCAGCATTCTGCCTGGAAACCATGTCACACCAGGGATAGCAGTTTCTAACTTCCATTCCCTGATTGTTTTTTAGCTGTAGATGGAGTTAATCAGCATAGCCCAAGAAATGAAAGCTGTGAGAGAACAGAAGGACAGGGACTGGAGACATTTCCTTACAGGGTACCTAAAGTCAAGGTATGACCAACCCAGCAGCAAGTTACAAAGTGTTCAAAGTATGTCATCTCAGTTCAGCTTAATTCCAAATGACATAGAGTACATTTTTAGCAATACGTTCTGAGAGAATAGCAAACTACTTTTCAATAACTAAGTTTGTCCCAATTTCAATGGTTAGACTTTTGACTGTTTTGACTTTACAATGGTGCAAGGGTGATAGTATTCAGTAGAAAAACTACTATTTCCCACCCCCGCCAAGAGGTAGGGTCTCACTCTGTCATCCAGGCTGGACTGCAGTGGTGCCATCATGGCTCACTGTAGCCCTGAACTCTCTTGGAATCAAGCAATCCTCCTCCCTTAGCCTCCTGAGAAGCTAGTACTACAACTGTCTGCCACCACGTGGACCTGGCCATTTTGTTTTTGAGACAGTGTCTCTGCTCTTTTGCCCAGGCTGGAGTGCAATGCCACCATCTCGGCTCACTGCAACCTCTGCCTCTCAGGTTCAAGCAATTCTTCTGCCTCATCCTCCAAAGTAGTTGGGATTACAGGCGCCTGCCACCACACCTGCTAATTTTTTTGTATTTTTAGTAGAGATGGGGTTTTGCCATGTTGGCAAGGCTGATCTCAAACTCCTGACCTCAGATGATCCACCCACTTTGGACTCCCAAAGTGCTGAGATTACAGGCATGAACCACTGCACCTGGCCAGATCTGGCTATTTTAATGATTTTATTTTTTGTAGAGACAGGTCGCTGTGTTCCGCAGGCTGCTCCTGAACACCTGGCCTTTTCTTAGGTTACTGTCTATTCTCTCCCCTGCTGGGCTGGGTACTCCATGCAGCCTTAGAGCCTTGCATAATGCCTGCAACACACAACAGGGTAATTTAGAAAGTATCTGATTAATGAAAAAAACCTGCTTTCTCCACTAGCCATCCAGCTAGCATCGTTCAACTCTCCCCCAAGTCCCCACTCCAAGTTCTTATTTAGTAGGAAAACAGAACACACTTCCCTTAAAATACGTACATTGGTAAATACATGGGCACTAAAAAACTGAGAAAAAAAATTTGGTTTCTGACTTTATTACTGAATTTATTGCACAGGTTTTTCTGCATCAAAAAAGTATCTGCTAAAAAGAGAAACAGTTGTGTCTGAATTCACATTCCCCCCAACTTCTAAAAATATTTCCCATAAAAAAGAATCCACTCATCTGATTTTAAAGAAAATATACTTCTTACACCAGACAATCCAAACTGATGCAAAATATTTATTCCAAGTTAGTTATTTTATGCAGTAGTTTCCCCCTCAAGACTTATGATAACCACATCTTTTAAATCTGTAAATAATGTTATCAAAATAATCTTAATCTTTGAAATCTCACAAAAATTTATATTTTACAATCCACCCTGAATATCAAGGCTGCAAGAATAACACAACATTTTCTATATCCAAATATTTTACAGCTGTACCCAAAAAGGAAAAAGAAAAAAAAAACATAAAACCACATATGCTTGGTTAAGGGCTAAAGTTACCCAAGCAGCCAAAAATAAAATAAAATATCCAAATTATTAGCATTAATTTAATACAATTATAACTTCAATAGTCACTTTGTCATTGACAATGATTGCTTGAGCACAGGGGTGAGTGCCCCAAGGGCTGGTAGTAGAAGCTGTTGCTGCAGACCAGTGTCTCTTCTCTCTGCATTGCCAGCTCCTACCTGTGCATCGCCCCATATATACTATGTGTGTGTGTGTGTGTGTGTGTGTGTGTTTCAAAAATCTGTTCCACCACACAAACTTCTCTCTATTAAGCAGATAACAGGGAAGAACAACAACAAAAGCAAAACAAGCCAATCGCTCTCTTTGGGATATGATTATTTCCCTTCTGAATGACATATTCAACAACATAAGAAAAGGAAAAGAACGATTTCTTTTGTAGACTCCCTAAACACACAGAGTTTACTGGGTCTGATTTAATGGTGAGCATTATGTGCCTACTTCCAGGCATCGTCATCTGATGTCTCACTGCTACTGGTTTCGGTATCTGAGTCCTCAAACTCTGCTTTGCAAGTGCTTCTCCAAGGGGAGAATAGGCTGGAACTGCGGTTCTGCAAGAAGCCATTCTTTCCAAAGCCATTTCTTCTCAGCTGTGGTTAGTATGGGAGAGAAAGAAAAAGAAAAAACATCAATGTCTGTATTGACCCATGAGCCCTGGGAAAGGCCAGCTCTCAATTCAATTATGGGTAGAATGTGGAGAAGAAACCCTCCAAGATCCCTTATAGCAGTACTCTCCAAACTTTAATGTACAATGAGTCATCTACCCATCTTTCAAAAATGCAGATTCAGATTCAGTATGTCTGGGATGGGGCTTAAAAGTCCTTATTCCTTGCTTTGTCACCCAGGCTGGACAAAAGACAGCCTTGCTCTGTTGCCCAGGCTGGAAGCGCAGTGGTGCGATCTCAGCTCACTGCAACCTCTTGTCTCCCGGGTTCGAGTGATTCTTATTCCTCAGCCTACTGAGTAGCTGGGACTACAGGTATACACCACCACACGTGGCTAATTTTTGGCCTCGAACTCCTGACCTCGTGATCTGCCCGCCTTGGCCCCCCACAAAGTGCTGGGATTATAGGTGTGAGCCACTAAACCCAGCCGAAAGTCTTTATTTCTAACAGAGTTCTGAGCGTCAAGGTCTCACATCAGCCTGTGCTGTGCCCCTTTTAAGGACATAGCCAACTGTAATTTGTGCTATAAATATATGCCACCAGAAAGTCAAGGATTTTTGTAGAAATCTCATTAGTCTTGTTTACCCTAGGTAGCAGTGTTTTATTCAAAGAAAGAATCCAAGCAACTATTGAATAAACTGACACAAGCTATTTAGCTTCTTAGCTCTGGCCAGAGGACCAGGAAACTACAGGGCAGAACAGGAAGCAGAGAAGGTGAACCTGTTTCCTTAAAGACCAAGAGCTCAGACCATAACTCTGGAACACAAACTTGTGGTTCTGGTAAGGAGTTAGAGCTGTGAGGATGAAAGAGCATACTATTTTCTAGATCTGCTAATCACTGACACTTAGTTTTTGTATCCACCACTGGGGATCCTTATTTCCCAGGCAGATTTAGGAGCCCCATTACATTTCTACTAAGGTAATTTTTTTTCCCAAGGTCTTTCTCTCACATTAAACTAGGCTCCCTAATGGCAAGGATTGTCCTGACTCCTTATTCTCCAGGTTACTAACTGGTCTCTAGGAAAAAGGCTAAAACAAACCTGCTCTGTCTTCATGTGGAACTCTTTGAGCTCATCCTCTGTGAGGGGAAGGCAATTCTCATCATTTTCAGGATATTCTTGCCATCCCATTGCTTTCAATAACCTGGTGGACATAGACAGGTAAAGAAAATATGCCATCATTAAGCCTCAGTGAACAGCCCACCACTTTCCACAGAAAACATTTCTGCCCAGGGGCAACTGATGTTAAAGAATGAATTGTTTTCCTCCCTGTAAGACAAAGTTTAATTTCAGCTACTTGAGTGATTATAAATAACTGGAGGCTCTTCACTGTTGAGAGAGGAAGAGCTACAGAACAGACAGCAGAAGCAGAAACCAAGATAGCATTAAGGAAGAAAGAGTACTTGCAGTCTGGCTTTTTTGTTGTTGTTGAGACGGCGCCTCTGTCACCCAGGCTAGAGTGCAGTGGTGCAATCTCAGCTCAATGCAGCTGTCACCTCCTGGGTTCAAGCCATTCTCCTGTCCCAGCCTCCCTAGTAGATGGGATTACAGGCATGTACTATCATGCCCAGTTAATTTTTGTATTTTTGGTACAGACAAGGTTTCACCATGTTTGCCAGACTGGTCACGAACTCTTGACCTCAAGTGATCCACCGACCTCAGCCTCCCAAAGTGCTATGAGTACAGGTGTAAGCCCCCTCGCCTGGCCTGAAGTTAAAATATATTAAAGTCTTGGAGAGCAGATTGTGAAAAAGATGGCTGAGTCTGGGAAAGAATGCTTGATGGGCAACAGGCCAACCTGGGGCATACACAGAAAACAAGTTATAATTGGGCCACTTCTCTCTGCATGTGGGCCTCTATCTGAGATATCTTCTCCAATACGTTCAAGGTCCTTAAGGGTCATACACTGCATGCCCGGTGATGTCTTCCCTCACTTACCTGTGCTCTGCTTCCAGAGAGTGTGAGAGAACCTCCCCTTCTTCCACTACAGGGAGGGCAAGACCATTCTGATGACAGCCTTCCTCCCCATTTTCCTTTGGTTCAGGTGTACTGTTGTCCTCCAACTGCAATAAGGAAAAGTAAGGACACACCTGGTTTAAGGTTCCTTTGTGGTAATATAAGCAACCTACAAAATCAAGGAGTCACCACCCAGAAAGTGTTTTCCCAAAGACAGCCTCAGCCCATAGATTTTCCCCATTTACAAATGAGGACCTGCTGTATCACCAGACTGATTCTAAAGTTTTAATGAAAAGGCAAGGCTGGGCGCAGTGGCGGATGCCTGTAATCACAGTACTTTGGGAGGCTGAGGCAGGTGGGTCACTTGAGGTCAGGAGTTCGAGACCAGCCTGACCAACATGGTAAAACCCCATCTCTACTAAAAATACAAAAATTAGCTGGGCGTGGTGGTGCATGCCTATAATCACAGCTACTCTGGAAGCTGAGGCAGGAGAATTGCTTGAACTCGGGAGGCAGAGGTTGCAGTGAGCCGAGATCACGCCATTGCACTCCAGCCTGGTCAACAACAGTGAAAAACTCTGTCTCAAAAAAGAAAAAGAAAAAGAAAAGAAAAAAGAGAAAGAAAAGCAAAAGATTCAGGACAGCTAACACAATACAGAATAATAAAACCAGAGGACTGATAACTAGCTGACATCAAGACTTAGCACAAAAGCTAGAGCAATTAAAACAATGTGGTAAAGTGCTCATAAGAGGTGTGGAGGGAAAAAAGTGTGGTGCTGACAGAAGATGACACAAATAGTTAAATGGGACAGAACAGAGAGCCCACAAATAGACAACTGATCTTTGACAAAGGAAATACAATGGAGAAAAGATAGTCTTTTCAACAAATGGTGAGGGAACAACTGGACACTCACATAAAAAAAAAAAAAAATCAATCTAAACAAAGACCTTATAACCTTCACAAAAATGAAATGGGTCACAGATCTAAATGTAAAACACAAACTTTTAAAGGATTAATCTCACTTTACTACATGGTTTAGAAGGGAGTTACAGCTACAGATACTATCTCTGTACATTTAAAAATATTGCCACATCTTTATCGTTTAAGAAGAAGAAAGCACATATGTATGAAAGGAAAATTCCTAGGCTACCCCAGAAAAAGCCTATGCTCTTACATCTTCCAGCTTGTCACAGTCTCTGTTCTCTGAGAAGTCTCCATTCTGGTCATCCTTCAGAGTCTTTAGGAACTCACTCTTTCTGTCAGTGGTTCGGCGGGTCAACTTGGTCAGACGAGAGGAGCTGATCTCAATTGGAGGGGTGGTGCTGGAAGGACTCTGGGCAAATACCACAAATAGGTTGCTCCTGACAGCAAAGAGCAGGAACTGGGTTCTCTTCTACACAGCACAGACTTCAAGAATTTGGTAGCCTATTTATCACTCTGTCTTAAACCAAACAATCCTTTTATTTAATAAGACTTTAGTTTTGCAGGGTTTATATAGTTAAGAGTAGCTGGCT